TTTTTTTTGGGGGGGGGGGGTTGAGTTAGATGAATAATAAATAAACCTAGCTCTCTCTATGCTAAACCCTGCAGTGGCAAGCAGGCTGGAGTTCTCAGCCTAGTTCTGCCAGTGCAAGACACTGGAGGGAATTGATTTGTCAAGTTCATGACAGCCTTTACTTGTGTCAAATTCACACAAAAGACAGACGTGATAGCGCTCCAATACACATGCATGCATGAAAGCGCACGTACGCACAGACCAAAGCGCAAGAGAGAAGCGCAGCATCAAATAATCGCGGCGCGCTGAGAGGGAGAAGAACTACACATAGCTGACTGGCAGGGAGGAAAGATCAGAGGAGGAAAATGAGAGGCCGAGGTGGGAGAAAGAAAGGAAACGCGGACGAGAGGCGAGAAAGAATAGAGAAAAAGATTGCATTTTTGAGAGACAAAGGAGGGGACGAGAGAAAGCAGTGAGCACGAAAGGGGTAGAAATGGGAAACAGAAGGAGAGAAGCTTAGAGAAAGAGAGTGTGAGAGCCTGCACTTTCTTGCGCAGATCAGAGAAAATCCAGCATAACGCTTTCAATTAAACATCAAACGTCTTCTCCTCTCATCCTCCTCTCCTCTCCTCTCTTCCCTCTCTCTAGACTTCTCTGAGACAGACAGCCTAATAACCAAAGGGTGGAGGGAGGGGTCTGAAGCAGGGGATGAAGAGGTCACTGGAGGGCTGTGCGTGCATATGTTGCCTGTGTGTGCGTGTCTGTGGGTGGGAAATGAGTGCATGTGTGTGGTGTCTGAATCGAATGCTACAGTCTCACTCATCTCTATGTGACAAGATTGCACTTCTCCTCATTAAAATGAACTCCAGACTGCACTTTAATCTAGGTGCTACCCTCTTCTCTGTCCATCTCCCTCTGACTCACTTTTCTTGGTCTCCCCCTCTGATGAACAGACACACGCAAGTCATGTGGGTACTTGCTGAGTAGAGCTACCACTAGTAAACAACTCTGCGACTCATTTACAAGTTTTACAATTTTACATTTGGCCAAATATTTAAAAAATACTGTGAATACTGTTGTAATTGGGATATAAAGTGAAATGAATGCTGTTTATAAGTGATCTAAAAGCCTTGCTGGGTGATAGATAGCCTAAGTGAGTGTACAACCCACTATTTTCCCTGCCACATTTTTCTGCTTAGCACTGCACCTCCAGTATATACCTGTTTCACTCTTTTGCTTACGCACACCTTTCTCTACACCATACAATGTCTCTCTGTGTTTCCATTAAAGCTATTCATTCTCATTGTCCACACGTTGCAGTAATAGATTTATAATAATGGGTTCCCACACAGCCCTCCCTATTTCAACCCACATTCAGCCTCCTGATGTCTCACCTACATGTCTTTTTCTCCCTTGATGGCTTCATTGCTGTCTTTATTATACAAAAGTCACAGGTTCCCAAGGCACAATGCATTCGGCCATGTGTTAACATTTTCTACTCCAATTGAAGTTAATTCTTTGCATGCAAACTGAAATGACAGACGAAACTTATGTGTCATTTAATGCTGTTAATGTGTGTACATTCATAAAATATTAAGAAATATAAATATACCTGCAAACCGAAATCTATCATGACCTTTGTTAACATGTGAAGCAACCCCATGTTGGGTCTAAACCCCAAGCCAGAGAAAGAGTGCCCTAGCTGAGGTTCAAAATTCATTCTTGACCTTGGAAATAGTAGTTGAGAAAAAAATGCTGTTTCAGCTGCTCAGCTGACGTTTCCAAGGTCCTTAAAGCAAAAGTTTGACATTTTGGGAAAAATAGTAAATTACTTTATTTCAGGTGAAGAGTTACATGAAAATATCGATACGGCTCTGATACCTGTATGTTAAATACAGAGCTACAGCTAACAGTCGGTTAGGGTACTGTAGCACAAACATTAAAGAGGCACTAATTAACATGTTATATATGTATCTTTTTTGTTTCTTGAGTGCTAAAGTGAAACAACAACAATTTCCTATTTTTCAGGGGGTTACATGCTGGACTACTTCATGGCTCTTTGCAGTTGCCAGGCAACCAGATTCCAGGACTTTACTGGTTGCAGCCAAGAAATAATCCGGCACATAACCCCACTCTAAAATGGCAAGTTGTTAATTTTTTTTTTTTTTGCATGGATTAAACAAAAAAGATATACTGTGTTCTTTACTGAGAAAAAATGACATCTGAAGAAGATCATGTCTTGCAAAATTCTATTCATTGTTGCTTATTTTTGTTTTTAGTTTTTGCCTGTTATAATCTTGCTCTGTAAAGCACTTGGGGCTGTATGTTTGTGTGAAAGGTTGCTACATAAATAAAACTGAGTTGAGTTGTTGCTACAGAACAGCTACAAGATGGGCCTCATGGTGAGATCGTTGTCTCAGTTGTCTAAAGCTATTTAATGGTCGTTGTACAATCCTGCATCCTTTGAATGCACCGCCCCCAGGATGAAAAAATAATTCCACTTGGAGGTTGAAGTGTTGGATGAACAGTTCAAATCGAGACAAATTCAGATCAACAAAATACATAATGCACACAATGCACATATTTCCATAACAATGTCACATCAAACTTACATCTTGATTGGACATCTCCCAGTATGGCCTCTCTCCATATGACATCAACCTCCAACTGACATTCCATACTCCCACAATAGCTGGCAGAGTAACTCCTGCTATGCAATCGCCCTCTGGAGCCGTCCAGCGAATAGGAATCTTCCCACCCTGTGACAAAATGTAAGAACATTTACCAACAAAGCAAATACCTCTGTGGATTTAAAGGAAACTAGGTTTAGAAAACATAACTACAATTTTTAATCTGTAGCGGTGCTTGATAGAAATAACCCTGATATGTTTACATCCACAACAGCTCTGTACCACACTTGTACAAATGACCTTCTGGCGTATGAATACAGCTGCAGTCATTCAAATGGTTTTTTTTTCCTTACACAAAGATGGAAACCAAGAACAGACCTTAATTGAAACACTTCTGCCGCATGTGGTCCAACTCACAATTTCACTAATGAATACCAATTTAGGAACACATTCATGATACCAAGTTTCACTTTCTTTTACAAATTCCCTGTCCTAACTGTTGGGGGGCCTGAGATTCCTCTACTTGTTTCCCTCATCTTCATTATCGCGCTTTCATTGCAAAGATAGAAAAGTTCACAGGATGACTGCTGATTTCCAGAGGAAAATGTGTTTTCGGCTGATGAGTAGTGAAATTAGCTTGATGCAGTATTGATGAACACAGCAACGGGATATCTCAGGGTCTGATTATTTGAAGGGTGTGAATTATGTTATTCTCACTGCTCTGTCAAGGAAAGAGAGCCAGACGAGCCAGAGAGAAAGAGAGAGAGGGAGCGCAAGAAGAAATGTAGCCTGGCAGTGAGAGGTGAGTGACAGGATATTTGGCGCTAAGGCAGCAAGACTCAGTGCTAATTGAGTGTTGCGGAGACTGAGCTGAGTACTAATTGGCCCTCCTCCTGCAGGAAGCAGCCCGTCTCTGGCTGACAGGACGCCACTCAGCCTGGGACACACAGCTCAATTTAAAACCCGCTGCTGCCGTCTGTGTGTGTGTGTGTGGTGTGTGTTTTTTTTATGATGTGTGTGTGTGTGTGTATGTATATATATGAATGCAAGTTTGCGTGTATTCGGTGTGAGCGAGGCTCTTGTGTAAGAGTTTTCCCACTTAATCCAAAGTTTGATACACCACAATTGCTGTGCACACACAGAGATACACACCAGATTAAATATAATTGTCCTCAAAGACACAACAGTGTACCCTCTAGTTTATCCTTCCTTTTCCTTTCTCACATTACCGCTCCTTTATTAAACAAAACTGCCAAATATTTGCATTTTATTTTATAGGGGAGGATTTGCTAATGTTTTTACACCACTAAAAATGATCCAAAATATATTTTTGGACCTGGACTGTATTCAGAAAAAACAAGGCTCTGTGAAATAGTGATCAGCCTTGTCTTTATTAACTGAAAAGATAATCTACAGATAATTGACAGGGAAAATAATTAGTTGCAGCCGTATCACACACACACAAACATGCACAGTCTTACCCGCGTGGTGTACGCAGCCTCTGGGTCATCTTCCAGGACTCGGGACAGGCCAAAATCAGACACTTTACAAACAAGGTTGCTGTTGACCAGGATGTTACGAGCTGCAAGATCACGGTGAACATAGCCCATGTCGGAGAGGTATCTGCATTTGTCAACACAAAGGAGAGGATTAAACCTGGGCCCTAATGATGTGCTCAGTAATGCATTGTGTGTTTGTGTGGACTCATAATACATTATGTGCACCTCATGCCAGATGCAATGCCACGCAGCATACCAACCAGCTGGATTACGGTGAACTGACCATCATTTTTCTGAAGAAAAGAAGGGACAAATGGGAAAAAGACATTGTTGTTAGAAGATATCCTTAATCAAACCATCAAACAGTGAATAGAAAGCGTTCAAGGGAGAGTGGAAGATAAAAATGGGACGGATAATATCACGTGGCAAATGTTTAAAATCAGAAATATTGCAAATCCACTAAAAATAAATCATTCATGAAGTTAATTGTCTGCCAGCATCCCCCAAAATGAACTCTGCTGACCCAGGATGACCTACAGTACGTACATGTATTTGCACTTTCAGTTAAGTAGCATAATGTCAGTGCAGTTCTTCTCCTTAGTGTCTACACTGCATTGTAATTCTGTATTATATATGCACTAGTTCTGTCTGTAAGGATAATGGAGTCCCTGTGTGGTTTGACATTAAAACATGTCTGGAAAAAAGCAGTGAAACAATGTGGTTCAATGCTGATGGGTATTTTTCTGTAGTTTTTGCAGTGTAGCCTGCAAAACTGGGTCAATATAGAAAGGCAAAAGAGAGAGCACGTGTGACCTCTGCAAAATGATAAGTATTCTGCTGCCTAAAAGTTGCCTTCAGGCAAGAAAGCCATACCACCATTGATAGCCACAAAGCCATTTACTGTAACTTACAGTGTAGTGACAAAGACACAACTTCACATGTCCTAATATATTTCACAGTTTTATGTCAGTGGAAGAATTTGAGGGTACACATTATTGCAGCCTAGTCTCATTTACACTAATTCCCGGAAATACAAAATAATCTCTATGATAGCAATGAAGATAGCAATCTAAAATCATTGTTCTCAATGTCTCGTATCACCAGTGCACTTTTGTACTTCAGGTCATTCTTCCCACGTGTTCTTAACTCTCCTGCTTTGTGAGCAGACCAGAACCAAGATTACGGATTCCTCTAATCCTGCCCAAAGCTCATTGCTGCCCTGTTGCCCAGAGTCACACCATGTTTTATGAAATCAGTCTCTGGTACAGACACCAGCTGAGCCGTGTCTTCCTTGGGTAAGTCACAGCCACTTTTTCTTTCATGCTATGACTCAGCCTTATCTTGTGGGACCTTCAAATTTCCATACCCCAATATTAATAATTAGGTCTTTCAATAACCGAGGCAAAGAACTTTTGCCAAGGACAGAATGTGTTTCTCTCCACCATTGCATGTTGGTCAAGGGGAAGCTCCCTGAAAGAGCTCACAGACTTATAAAAAGTACCAACTGACAATGGCTCAAGTGACCTCATTTGAGACAATTTATTAGACTTCCTCTGGTCACAAAAGGCTTTATAAAACTTTTTTCACATATGCAGTTGTATACCGCAAGACCTTTAAATGTGAGGAAGTGTGAAGGTACCCTTTAATTCCAGTCCCAACACTGACCCCATCACTAGCAATTCCTTTCATATTCAGACGAGTATTTTAGTTGCATGATCTTAACCATAACTTAACAATAGTTTATTTGCCTTAACCATGATCTTGCTGTGCTGTTGTTGCATTGCACAAATATTGTAATAACTTTAAGCACTAATTGCTTTGAGATATTACCATTGAACACATTCCAGTATCTGCAAAATTGTTTAATATTAATGTCCTGTCTGGTGACAAGATCGGAGCCAACAGTCCCAGAAACGATGTGTACAATTGTTTTTGTAGTGTATTAACAGCTACAAAAGAAAAGAGAAATGTGCCTGACTGCTTCATGCTAAGGGAGAAGGTGTTAGCTTTCATACCATACTTGAAAAAAAGTAAATTATAGTACTAGAACTGCTCTTTCCCTCCCATGGAAAACACTTTCACTAGGGTTCCTCTTAGTTTTCACCAAATGACAGCTCTCACTGTTAGCTTAAGCCTCAGCTCCTCCCAATCGAAATGTAAGCTATCCATCTATAGCAGAACATCGCACTTACATGCAAAATGAGATGTTAAGCCAAAGATGTTAGTTATGAGCCTTATAGTGCATTGCCCATAGCTGTGACACTTAATCCAGGAGCCAGTTCAACCCCTGCTTCTCTCATGGCCGTGTCATTTATACCGGCCTCAGTATACCAGCCATCCATGTAATTACTTCACAGGGTTTTCTGTGCTGCTCTGCCTGCTGGTTCCCCAGCTCCTCTGCCTCCCCTTTGCATCCAGGATTACTCCCAAAGGCACACAGAGCTGTCACGTCAGCAGTTTCCAGTGACCACAGCCCCGTAGCACATCTCTTCCACCTTTCCTTTTCTGTCTTTTGTTTCACAGCATCCTCCCATTTTACACAGCCAGGGAGAGAACATATTCTTCAGGTAAAGGTCTTTTCCAGTCTGCATTGCCTTTCAAGCACACCTACCCCTCTAAACACCACCATGTTATTCTCACCTTTCACAAATTTCCATAATTACTGTTCTGAAATACGCCTTTACTGTACCATCTTGCACCTGTATGACCTTATTGTTCTCATCTCTCCATTAGCCATCTGCTGCAGAAGTTTCCCCTTTTTTTTGCAGGATTTAGGCCTTGTCCGCCAACTGAGCATCTTGCCATTGTAACCAGCAAGTAGACTGAAGTGCTCTGAAGAGGGATCACTTCATTCAGAGATTTGCCACCCTGCCTCTTCATTATAGTTCACCTTCCCCGCTCAGCAAAGTCCAAATTGTCTAGACAGTGCAGACATGATTCCAGCCCTGAGTGCTCAGATTTCTTTGATACACTTAGAAGTGGGATCCCTTTCAGTATTATTTATTGCTGCTCTCTTAAATGTTTTATCGTATGTACTGAGAAATAATACTTATGCCAACCTGAACACACAATTAACTCTGCTTTCCCCTTGAAAGAGTGTAACACCCGCCTCGGCTAAGATTTTACACAAACAATCACATATTCTTCCTTCGTTAACTTATGCTTGAATGTGTGGAATGATGATGTATTGAATTGGAATAATGATAGCTTTGGTGGATACATTCTCATTTCACCCCACCTGATTATCTTTGCCCACAGTGGTGTATCTCTATGACAAACAGCTCTCATAAATGTATTTTCCTTTCCAGAAGATTAATTGTTTTTCCACCTCTGTGATAATTGTCCCCACAATATGCTATATTAGCAAGTAGTCGCTCTCCAGCCTTGCTCGTTTGCCACTTATATCAGTACAGAACACTGATCTAGGTCTGAGAGCTCCCTCTTTCCTTCTTTTTACTTCCCATTGTTGTGTATTTCCACTTCTTTATCTACTGTCTAATTCCTATGATTTTCATCCTTTCTCTCTTCCAATCCTTCACTTCCTTTTCTCTAGATTTCCCATGACCTCACTCTTAAGCATCCTGTCTGATATACCTTGAGGAAAGTGTCCAGTGATCCATTCTCCATGTATTCAGTGATGATCATCACTGGCTTGCCTGAAAAGCAAAACATGAGAATAATCAACAACGATACCTTAAAAAAACACAAAAACAACTAAATCTTGGTTAAGGTTCTCTCAAACTGCTTAATTTTGAACAAACAGGAATATTACATAATTTGTACTTTGGTCTTCACAGGGCTCATCTTTTCCAACTTAATACAGTTTTTATCAGTATAAACTGTGCTACTACATCAAGAATTAGCTAAACATTCCTTAGACTATACATCATCGGCTTCAGCTGTAGTTTCTCAGCTTCAACTTCAGTTTTTCCATAAGTTTATTACTTAAATACTCATTCATGTAAGTATGTCTGTGGTTGCAATGTTGTGGTTTAAGGTTAATAATACAGTTGATTGAAGTGTGGTCAAAATTTTGTTTTGTCTCTCCTGTAAAGTTTGTCAAAAGCCACTTATGCCCCTCTGGCTCCAAGCCCTCAATATAACTGCATCATATCAAAGTTCCCATTGCAAGATTATATATATATATACATACACATACACATATACATATACATACACATATATACACTATATAAAATGCTATATTTGGATTTGACTTGTCAAAACATGTCATAACAAATGAATATGGAGATGAAGAGTAATAATTACAGTGTGTGTGTAACCACGTAAAAAAAAAAAATAGAATTACATATAAGAATAATGAACCTGACTGCAGTGATGCTGTCCTTACCCTTCCTAGACACACACTACTGGAGCTTTCTGAAATATTTTACTATTCATTTTGTTGTTACTCTAACACTTGATAAAATCAATGGCACAAATGTTCAAATCAGAAAAAGGGGATTTCAAAAGTAGAGCCTGGATAAACCACAGTTGAAGCTGTCAAAGCACATCTGAACCTGACTGATGAAGACACTTGACACTTGAGCGTGACAGATGTTGAAAAACCTTGACAAAGTACAGCTTATCGACTGAAGAAAACACAGCCGAGTCTGACAAGCAAACTTGAACCTGACAAGTCGAGCTTGAGATTCCCAAACATCAAGACAGTACAACTGCCCTATGAGTAGCCTGAATAATCTGCATTGTGACATACATGCGTTAGAAATGGCAAAAACAAAACAACGTTTGTTAAATCTGACTAGAAACAGACAATGACTCACTCTTTGTGACCACGCCCTCCAGGCGAATGATGTTTGGATGGTTAAACTGGCCCATGATTGATGCCTCCCACAGGAAGTCGCGTCTCTGCTGCTCTGTGTAGCCTGCTTTCAAGGTCTTTATGGCAACCTGGATCTCTCTCTTCCCGGGCAGCCTCAACGGTCCGCTGCACACCTCGCCAAACTCCCCTGAGGAAAAGACATAGAGCATGACTGTGGCCTCAACATTTCAGCCCACACTAATCTGCAAATGTCTTGTCATATGGTGAAACAAACCTTAACAGTGATCTAAATCTAAAAGTTCACGCTGTAGTGTTTTCATCTATAGACTACAAACCCATTCTACTTCTATATAAAGCTGTGGAGAAAAAGAAAAACTAAATAAATTCTGGAAAAAAAACTTTTTTATTTTGTTGTTGATACTGATTTTGACTACAAGGGCATCTTCTGATAATATTTCTCATCTCCACCAGTTGCAATCCATTTCTTATGTTGTTTGGGATCTGTGTCACAATGCAACCAAATCAACATGTTTGTCAGCAGAGGACGAGCACCATTTAAAGCTGTGAGAAGTGTTATTTTCTACCACAGTGTTTGGCTTAATTGACTGTGTCTAAATGATTGTATATATACAGAGACATGCAATCAGGAATGTGGCAGGTTTATGCAGGTTGAAGAAAATATGACGCACTATTATAGAGGTAACAAGAAAATAATAAAATTCTATACAGCAAGACAAAATTAGGCTAGACTCATTACTGTTATGACCGTACATCGAGTGTGTTTTCATACAGTATTGTTTGAAATTAAGCTGTTGAATGGTACAATATTCTACCCGAGCATGCTTGACTGAACAGGTTCACTTCGGAATGAACAATAATGTATTCTCTGATACATTATTCTGGCCAAATCATCCCCAAACTGACGCTCAGAATAAGAATCAGGGCATCTGCAAAACACATACACACACAGACACAGACACACACACAGAGTCAGACTCACCAGCTCCGATGATCCTCTCTATGGATATGAACGAGACGTCGATCTCCTGGGTAAATTCATGCACTGCCTGGTTGGGATCTTCATAGGTGAGGGGGTCAATGTAGGTACGCACCCCTGGGAACTTTACTGCAGACACACAGGCATGGCGTCATTACCATTTAGATGTAATTTACCATTATTAACATATATTCAGGCTTGAATACACAATACAATGCATGTATACATAACAATAGTGGTCCCACTCTCTTTACCTGAACATGCTGCAAGCGTTGTATTAAGCCGTTGCAGGCAATGTTGCAAATCGAGGAGCCTGATTACTTTATGGCAATATTGATTTTTGTTTAGATTTTTTCATCCAAGTTGTTGTAGTAGCTTGATTTGTCCGTTTCTTGTTTGAATTTTCATAAATTTGTCTATTATCTTATATTCTGATATAAATACACAAAATAATGTATACTGTGATAGTGTGATTATCCATATTTCTTAGTCATAATCAATATTATTTCTGGCTTTTTATATTGTTGAGGTGATGTGATTTAGTTCTTGCTTTGACCTCCTGAAGCCTTTATTATTATTATTCTACCTTTTAAAACACATCACTCCTACAGAAAGTAATTACCAAAATTACCTAAAATGCTGAGCCTAGGGAACAAAATACAATGATTCATAACTTTAATTATCTAAAAAACTTTCTATCACTTTTTGAGGGCGTGATAAGTAATTAACACTCGTTTTAAAACATTTTTTTTTATCGTATGAATGAATATGACAGTAAACCACACATATTGGCAATGTGGCATTATTTTCCCCTTGATTTCTCCGGAGCTGATGTACCCGTCATGGTCGGCTCTGATGCCAACAGATGGATAGCTGGATACAATGCCAAAAATGTGGTCAAATACATTAAGCTGTCACAGCCTATAAATCATCATAGCTTTGTGTGTCCTCTGCCAACATGGCTGCCATGGAGCTGGTTGGTAGTTGTGTCATTCAAAGAATAGCTCCTAGTGACAAACATTGTCAACCGAACTGGTTGAGACACACAAAACACACACACACACACACACGCTTACAGGGATGAACAAACTCATACAGACTTGACCACTGTATGAACCCTCTAGTGTACATGTAGAGTAAACTTTGGATGAACTTGCCAACACACATACAGATACACAGAATGAGTGGGGTTTCTTAACTTACTGTGACCATTGTGGAAGTGCATCTTCTCCTCTTCAGGATCCTGCTTTGCTTTGCTGTAGCCACACCGCCTGAGACACAAACGCAGCAGAATCAGTGTCATATTACAGTATTTTTATGTGCACATGTAAAAACATTGAAAACCTTGACAATTACACTTGCATAAATTATAATTTCATCAACACTGTTATAAAAAGGTGGATGCCAATCAGCAGTATGTTCAGCAATAAAACAGCTCTGGCAATCAGCCCCCCTATTATGACCTCCACGAAGGAGGTTACATTTTTGGTGCCTTTTGTTTGTTTGTCTGTCAGCAGGATTACAGAAAAACAACTGGCCTGATTTTCATGAAACTGGAAGGGTGTAGCATAGGCTAAGAAAGAACCTATTTAATTTGGAGCAGATCTGAATAATGGGGCAGATACACAATTATTATTCAGTTTCGTTAACATTGCGAGATAGGTCAGTTGTAATACAGACTGGTTGTGCTTCTAGATTTGCATATCACAGAAGACTGGACTATTGGCCTTGGTGGAGGTATGCACTCTCAGTGTGCCCTTCAAGTTATTATTTTTATTTAATGACACATTAAAAAAAACATTCAGTTTCAGAGAGACAAATTCCCTCTGCTGTTTAGATTCAGCTGGATCATTTAGCAATGGCATTATTTCTTTACATCATTTTCCAATTTCCAAAAAGGTAGCACAAATTATGGCCCTTACGCATTTTATCTACTGTATATCTAAACGAAGAACAAACAGTGACATTTACACAGACAGAGATTAGAGTAGAGATACCACAAAATGGTCCAGACACAGAAAAGCAAATCCTGGCCAACAGAGAGTACGATCACACAGGGATCTAAGTGCAAGATAAGCTTTTTATTTTCTCATAGGATCTGCTAACTTACATTACTGAAAGTGCTGAAAACTACCAGCCTTTTAGACGGAAAGCCCTCGTCAACAGATCAACTCTGACTTCTGGCAGAGTAGAAAGCAGTCTTGCACTTACAAAATAATGCTTTTTGGTCAACTTGCCCGAAAGAAAAATGACATATAGGAGAGATTCTTTGACTCACTGGCTTTTGACTGCATCTTGATATATTTTTCCCTCACGCTCATGTGAGAAAACATGTCTGTGTATTTCGGACGTATAGGCCAAAACCTGTATTAATTTGTTTGCCGTGTGGATATGTGTCTGTGTGCTCAAAGCTTCAGTATGTCAATATTTAGACAAGCAGCATCAGAGATAATCACAGATAACCCAGATTAAACAGGAGGATTGATTTGAAACTTGATCCTATACACAAACACGAGTGCAAACATATAACACTGACTAAACAGAGACATAGCACTAAAATTAGTATACTTTTGAGGTACTCTACTGCATTTGTCAGACCATGAGTCAATAAAATGTTTTAGATGGCTGAGTTTTCCTCATTTTTTCGTTCTTCAAGACAAAAAAAGCCAGTGCTTGAACACATTGACAACACACAAACACACACACACACACACACACACACACACATATACACACACAGGGGTCATGTGCAACTCTTTCCTATCACAGCTCTCTGT